AAAAAAGTATTATGGGTTAGTTATAAATGTTTCAATGTTTTACATGAAATTGAGTCCATTCATGCAGATTTGTACAAAGGGAACCACAAAGGCTATTGTCCACAATAACTCCAAGATCTTTTTCCTTTTCAGTTCTATTGAGCCACGCATTCCCCATCTTGTACCCATGCATTGGGTTTCTTTTTCCTAGGTGGAGGGCTTGGCATTTGTCTCTATTGAATCTCATTCTGTTGCTTTGGGTTCAAGTTTCTCAAGATCACCCTGGATCTTTATTCTGTCTTCTAGGGTGTTTGCTGTTCCACCCAGTTTTGTATCATCTACAGATCTGATTATCTTTCCTTGTACTTCCTCATCTAAATCATTAATAAGTTGTTGAAAAGCACTGGGCCCTGGACTGAACCCCGAAGCAGCCCATTAGTTATCTCCTCTGCTTTTTCTTGTTGTCTGTTTTCATTCTGCCATTCACTTTAAGTAGCTGGACAGCCTTCTCTTTTTCATGTCTCAGACTGGTGTTGGGCCCTGCTTGAGGTTTCTTCTCTGTTGAAATATATGTCCTTGCCAGGTGATGGTATGCCATGCTGCACATTTCCCTCCACTACATGGTAGGTTTAATGTCCTCCTGATAATTTTTTTCAAGTATTGGCCAAACATCTGCTTCCCATTCTTCGTGAGGTGCAGCCCATCATTTGCCCATAGTGCATCTTCCGGGAAGCTTAGCTTGTGGTCCCAGAATCCAAATTTCTCTTTATGGCACCACCATCATAGCTAGTCATTCACTTGAAGAATTTTGTTTCCCTAACAGTTCCTCTTCCACATACTGGTAGGATTGAGGAGAAGACTATCGGGGCCCCAATGTTTTTTATTTTCCTCCCTAGAGCATCAGAGTCTGATGTTATTTCAGCAAAGTTTCTCATGGCAGTTTTGTTAGTTCTCACAAGATAAGGAAGGGATTATTTGTCAGTGGGTTGCATGAGTTGTGTGAGCTTGCTGGTTATATCTTTAATCTTGGTGCCAGGGAGACAGCATACTTGATGATTCTCTGAGTCATCATGACAAATATTTTTTGATTCCTCACAAGAGGGAATCTCCCACAACTAGCACTCTTCTCCTGTTGATGCAAACCTTGCTATCCTTTTCCTTGCTAGATTGGCCTTTTGTCTCTTTCAGAGTTACCCAGTGTGTCATGTAGTTCTTTCACAGTGGGTTTCTCACACATCCCTTCCTTGTGTAATTTAAAGAGGTTCGAGAGTTTCACTGCTTCCACTGGTACAGAGTGTTTTCTAGGTCTTCTGCACCTGTCACCCTGTTCCAGCAAGTGTCCTCATTTTCCCTTCCCTCAGGGTGCTCTTCTGCTGCCTCAGCTTGCTGATGTTCTTCTTGCTTCTGGGCTACACTTATTTGTATCTCCTCTGCTGCATCTAAAATTTTCTCTTTTTCTTTTATTATGTTGAAGGTGGACACTCACTGCTCCAGTGCCCTCACCTTTTCCGGTAACAAAGCTACTAGTGTGCAGCTGCTGCAGTTGCTGTAGGCCACCACTGTGGTGTCCCCTTGTGCAACCGTAGTGTTTCTGTCTTTGGGAGTGCTGTTGTGACAACTGGTGCCTTTGAGTGTCTTTACTAAAGGCTGGCAACAAGTAACACAGTCCTACTAGTAAATGGGGGGGGGGTGTTACAAGGAATAAAACAAGTGTGCATGCATGCCAGGGGGTGGGGGGATTAAGGTGAAATAAAGACGAGAAACAAGGGGTGGAAGTTAGGGACCTTCCCCTTGACCACCTCCTTCTCCAAACTGCTGATCACTTGCTCCCTGGGAGCTTGACTGCTTGTATCCCAGAGGCCCTAGACCAGATGGGGCAGCTTGCTCTGATCTACTCTGCTGTGCTAGGAGTCAGGAACTAGAATGGGTCCCTCCCACCCACACAGCTGCTGCTAGTTGATCAGGCCACTCCCCTTCAGTTAATTAGCAATCAGCTAATCCAGAACTTCCTTTCAACTGTCTCTTCGAAAACAAAAGTTTTAAGCTGGGCTAATACTGCCTGTCTCTGCTTTGCCTTGCCTCTGTCCATCTCTGCTTTGAGGCAGAGTTGATCCTCTTCTAGTACAGACAAAATAATTTCACCTGACTTATTCACAAATGGACCATGGATCCATTCCTTCCCATCTCAGGGGTCTTTAGTGGTTGGGATGTCATGGTCAATCTCTTTTGAAAGTTGAGATAAGTGATCATGCAGAAGCTGGAAGGAAGAAGGCCCTGGCTCAGTCTCTTTCAATATCTCTGCTAATGTTTGAAACACGTCAACATTTCCCATTGTTCACTCATCACCCTCCTAATTCCAGTTTGGCTTTGAATCAACACTTTACCTGTTGATTTGAACACAGGTGTCATTCTCCTCTGAAGTGACAGATTGAGTTTGTTGAACAGGTTGAATATGTCAAACAAGCAAGTTTTGCAATCCATTCTGTGCCACTGAAATGTGCTGCCGTTGGTGACTGCTTTTCTAAAAGAAATCTCTGGAATGGCTCTCGTAACGCAAAAATTCTGGCCAGTGATATACCTTTAGAAAGCCATGTGTCCATCTCCTCACAGAGCTGCATCAACAGGCATGAGTTAAGGGCATGTATTTTAATGTGGTTGATAATTTTAATCACATCCTGCAAAATGTTCAGTTCAGGTGACATTTTTCAGCTAGACAGCATTTCTCTATGGATGATACAATGCATAGACTCACATTCAAAAGCAATCTCGACCTGAGTCGTGAAACCAGCATGCTGTCCAGTCATGGCAGCTGCTCTGTTCATGCATAGACCAACATAAAATGACCAATTCAGTTTTCCTGATATGTAATCATTCAAAGACTTGAATAGTTCTGCAGGTGTGCTGTTGGTTGGCAACAAAAGTGCACATTACATATCCTCCTGAAAAATATATTGCACAAAACTGAGCATTGTTCCCTTGTTGTCAACATCGGTAGACTCATCAACCTGGATTGCATACTGTAATGACCCATTAATCCTCTCTAACAATATTACCTCAGTATCCTCTGTTTTTTCCTCAATTTGTCTAGCTATTGTGCTAACCAAAAGAGGAACACACGTCACCTTTTGAACTGCAGCCTCTCCTAAAAGTTCATGACAAATGCCCTTAGCAGCAGGCAGGATCAACTTTTCACCAATACTACGGGGCTTCTTAGCTTTAACAACGCGGTTAGTCACTAAGAAGACCCATTTGATGAGGTGGTAGCCTTCAATAACTGGTTTTGTTCTTCATGTTTTCTTTCTTCTGAAAAACTCTAAAGGCTTGTCTTTTAATTCAGGGTGCTTGGTCTTCATGCAGTGAAGCAGTTTTGAAGGTTCCATGCCTTCGTTGAATAGTTGGTCATCACATATTATGCAAAGCGGGCTTGGAGAGTGTGAATCACCTGTTGAACCCATAATTCAAGTAGGATTCTTGCTATTTTCTTTTAAATGCAGCTGTCTTTATGTTGGCAGTCTTAGACTCTTCTGCAGTCTCATCTTTGGCTCTTTTCCCCTTTTCAAAGACGCTCTCCAGCATCATTTATTTTTACTCGTTTTGACTTGGGTCAGCTCGTGGGCTTACCAAAACTGTGACTGAGACAAGTGTGCAGTGCAGGAAAGAGGTACAGTGGAAGTGGTCAATAAAATAATGGGCAGGCAACACATGGACTAAAATGAGTACCAGATTCTGACTTAAAGCCTGCTACCTTAAGCAGCTTAATTGTCATTTGCCGCTCACTGAATATTGTAATATATTATTTTTAATCGAAGCATCTTTCTTAGAAGAACAGGAGCTGCTGCTTCTTTTTATAACAAATTGCACCAAGTTAAAATATTTTCCAGAGGAGTACAAAATGCTGCTTTAGTTAAGACATGTTTAAACAGAAAGAATATGCTGACTGGGGAAGATATAGAAAAAGGGAAGATAATAGAAATAATTTTAAAAGGTACCAACCACAGGAATGCTAGAAGGACAGATGAATGGACTGGGCTGACCCCTCAAGAGGAGCCAGGAAGTGGCAGAAAGTTCCTGATCCTGTTGGCTATTTCTCTCACCAATCTCTGCTCTCCTTCCTTCTCATTGCCTTCTTATTCAGTCGGGCTAGAGCTCACATACATAGCAGCCACGCACTTTCTTAATTTTTCTTAAAGCGGGGCAGGGAAGGTTCTCTCTCACCAGCCTTTATTGTAGCTGCAGCAGCACATGTGGGTTCTGGCTGCTACTGAACAGAGTAAGGAGCTCTCAGCTCTGCTCCCACCATTCCACGCTCTTGCCTCTACTTCTATGAAACCTCTAACCAGCTTGCAATTCCACTTAGTTTCCTACTTTGGCTCCACACCCACCCAGGATGCATGATGAGGAGCAGGTGGTCAGCCTTCTAGCTAGGCTTCACCCACCTCCATTTCTTGTGCTGGCTCTCTGATTGGGCAATTGTTGTTGCCCCCCCCCCACCAGCCCATGCTATCCTGCTTGTATTGACCTGCTTGTATTCACCTGATTCTCCCTCCCCACTTTCTCTCAGGGATAGGGGTTAGAGCTGCTCCTGGCAGAGGTCCAGCTGTCTCCTCTCATCCCTTGAGGGGCTGGTAACTAGCTCTGGCAAGAGTTGCTGCTTGGGTGAGCACAATGAGTTCAGCTACTTGGTTTGAGCAAATCCTGGGAAGGAGGTGAACCTCCAAGACAGTTGTAGGGCAGACAACCACATAAGAAGTGCAGAGGTTCCCTTGCAAGAGCATGAGCCATCAGTAAAGAGAGTGAGGTCTGGATTAGTTGGTGGTGAGTTCAAATGTTTGACTCCACTTGTATTGCAATTCATGTTTAGCCTTTTAAGTGTTTCATCAAAGAAAAAAGGTGAGATACAAGTGTAAACAAGAAAAGTTACGGCATTTCAGATCTTAGACACAGCAAAGTAAAACCATTATACTATCTTACCTACACAAGTTGTTTCCCCCACTTTTAATGTTCATTGTGTTCTCTCTTAGGGGCATATGTACTTCAGGTCAAAGCAACAGATGCTGATGACCCAACATACGGGAACAGTGCCAGAGTGGTATACAGTATTCTGCAGGGACAGCCGTATTTCTCCATTGATCCCAAAACAGGTAACGAACACCTTGTTGGTGGCAATGCTATCACTGTTCCCTTTCAAGTGTCAAACTTATTAGTTGCCCACCTGGACAGTTCTTCTCTGATAGCAGAGGAAGAAAAAGCAAACTTATGAAAGCCACATGTATGCATGGAACAACAGCTGCTGCTGCCTCCAATTTGCATAGTGTGTCACCACGTTTTAATTCAGTGAACAGAAAAATTGCCTTCCTGAATCAAATCAAGGTCCACCAAAGGACCATAGAGGTACTATTCATAAAGAAACTTGGGAAGCATCTTTGATGATTATGGTATACTTTTGCTCGTTTAACCCAGCCTAAGGATGTTCTAAATATTGCATGAATGGTCCAAACTACCACAACCATGTGAATGTTACACCCAGAAATGACTTCCTAAACTGTATGTTCAAATGCTACAGACTTAATGTAGTAATTTAAACCTACTGTACAGATCACTTTGCTTATAGGTGGCCTATAAATGCATGCATAAATAAATACCAGAGGTAATTGCTTTACATCAAATAACAGATGGCAGCAATTTATCATAGATGCAAATTAGTCATGTTGCAGCCTTATGAATTTGTGCGATAAGCCAAGATGGAAAAGTTAACCACTATCCTTTTGTTTACCATTTCTTCCCTCAGTAGCTCAAATTTGGATCAACTCACTAAATTCAAGAAGTTGTTGTTCTTGTAGTAGCTCCTTATATGAAAGCATGGAAGCACTCTCCGTCCATTGCACATGCACAAACTTCACATTGAATTTCCTGATAATTAATCTAGATGTGTGTGAAATCCAGATGTGTGTGGGGCCTCGGCTCCAGAGTTTGTACACATATGCACAAATTGCAAAGTAGAACCTGAAATTTGTGCAAATTTTCCAGAAAAAAAGGATATGCAAGTTGCATCCTATTTTAAAAACAGAAGACAACTCACATCATACCACAAGCTCAGAAACTGTCAGGATCTGGGTTTCTCTGGTGGCCAGAACCAGAGCAACCACCACCATATTTGCAGAATTGGTCCCAGACTTTTCTGGGGCTCAGTCTACTGATGAGTACCAGCTGATGAGTACCACCAGGCCTGATTGGCCTTTCCATTAAACTCTGCTTTTGGACTCAGTTTTCTCTGAAGTTCAGTTGCCCTGGTCCTGGTGCCTTTTTTGCTCTTGTTTTGTCTTGTCGCTGGTTGCCCACATCCAGGCAGCAGGCCCCGACAGTAATATTCTGACACAGATTGCACTCAAGACTGGAAGTGTGTTCTGGGGAAATTCTGATCTAAAGTGAGCTGAATGAATTTCTCATATTTTTCTAGTTGAAGTGTACTAAATCTAGCAGATGAGAAGGCAGAAAGCCGTATCTTCAAATACTTCCCTACATACACTATAAAAACCTATGTATAGAAGGGTTGTGTAGGCACACATACCTCCCTAACCACGCAGTGTAGACAGGCAAGGTCTGAAAAGCATCTGTAACAGCGTTACTGTGTAACTCTGTGCTGGGCTCCAGTTTCTTGGGAGCAATGTAGTAATGTTTGGCTCAATGCAATTTTTTCTTGGACCATGTCAATACAGGGGGCAGAGCAGAGGCAGGGTTGTCCTCATATCACCTCCATGCTTGGATATAATACCTAGATCAGGTTTAAATATACATTTAAAAGTTCCCTGTCCCTAGACTTAATCGCCAGAGAAGATAGTGTCCTAGGACCTGACTCCCTGGCATACTAGCTTTTCCATACAGTGTAATTCTCCACCTGCCATCTGAAGTAGACTTTTGATTCGTTCCACCTCCTATGAGATCCACCTGATGATTCTCCTTTACATATTGCTTGTCAAACTAGTTGCTTTGACACTCTAACCATTTAACTCCAGTACACATCACTCTTATGAAACCTCAATGCATAGGAGCAACTTCTTCCTTGATCATTCTGAAGAATGCAGTGTTGAGCCTGATTTTCAGTCCTATTAATCTACAAATGTTAACTGGGATCTTTTGAACATGTGCTGTCCCACTAGGGCAGCATGCAATTTTGTGTCTCAAGCTGGAATAAACTGACTTTTTAATGAACATCAGTGTTCAGTGGAAAAGCTGCTATTCCCCCGTGCCCCAGCTGCATACTTTTGGCAAGTAACTGGACTAGAAGATGAGCCCTAAACGTTAATGTCAGACTATTGTTTGGAGGTCACTGGATATGTGAGTAGATGGGGGAAATAATGCATAAACAGCCAGAAATGCTCAGGGGACAAGACAGTTAATTGCATATCTTGCCCTGTATTCTGAAATGTCATTCCTGTTTTTGTATTTAATAATTCAATGACTTAACCAAAATGGTCTACACTAAATACTGCCAATTGTGTGCCTTGAATTCAGTGCAGGAAGAACTGCCTATCTGCCCTCTTTTTGCAAATGGAATTTCTTCTCCCAGTGAATCTCCTTGAATGTCAGGTGGAGTATTAAAGACCCAGCTTCCTGACTAATCAATGTCTGGAAATGGAAACAGCATAACACCATCAGCACAGGCTCTCCGGAGGTCACGTCCTCTGTCAAATATACTCTATTTTAACAAAAAATCATACTGTGAGTGTGAATCAGTGTCTTTATTTTTGATATTAGGAGGGGAACAGTTTCCTACCGCCAGAACTTCCCAGGGGACAAAAATAATCTCTGTTCAATGTTCTTTTTAAATGAGATTTTGGCATTATAGAAGTGTAAAAATGGCAAAATTGAAGCGTAAAAAGGTAGGCTGCAGGTGTGCTACGTCATATTTCTGAATGAGATAAACGAGGATAAGAAAGAGTTCCCCAGCATCCCCATTCTACTCAATGCCTCCTTCATTAATTGTACACCAAATAACATGCAGGGTGGTATTGAACACAAACTTGCAATGCTTCCTTTAGAAAAGGGAAGAAAACAAAGTTCTGTTGTTGACCATTTTTCTGCCTGTTACAGAAATGCAGGAAGAACTGTTTTATGTATTTACTTACCACCCATCACTGAAGCTCTCTCTCTGTTTGCAACTAAGTTTAAAAGCAATAAAATTCAATAAGAATCAAAAATCAATTTTAAAGAATATAATGGAACATTAAAAGATAATAAAAAGGCAAACCAGAGAGGTTTTTAAAAGTCTCCAGAAAGAAGGCTCCCTTAACCTGGTGCTGAAAAGATGGCAAATTAGGTGCCAGGCAGGCTGCAACAGAGGCTATTCCAAAATGGAAGGTTCACCTCCAAAAGTGCCCTCCCCGTAGTTTCCACCCTCCGAGCCTTTCGAGCAGTTGGAATCCAGAGGAAGGTCCCAGAGGCTGAACATAGTGTCCAGGTCAATACAGGGAGGGAGAGGCACTCCAGCAGCTTTTGAGTAGGGAGACAAAGTTGTCCAGGTCTTTATAGAACAGTCCCAGAATCCTTTCTAGCTGGTCATACCCCTGCTAATATTCTGCATTTACTTCCCTTTTTCTGGTGCTTGGTGTTTTAAGGAACTAAGAAGCTTGCCTAGTATAGATAATTATAGCTGTTTCATACACACACACATGCACACCTATACATTATTTTCCTCCTTTTCCTAACACAACTGGCAAAGGAACATTTTTAGCTTTAAGTATCATATAACAATGTTGAGATGGATGTATCTGAGCATTTCTCAGACTAATAGTGTTGCCTAACAGATGGCAATTTCGATTAAAAGCATACAGAATAAGTACTTATAGCTAGGCATGATAGTACATAAAAAAATGGAAAACATGTCTAAAGATATGTGGAACATGAAAAAATCATATTAAAAGAAATATCCTGAGGTAGATCAATTTCCCTGCCACAAGATGAGTTTTGGGAGAAGAAAATTTAGTTGGCTTTCTGTCTTCTCAAGATGTTTATTCATCTTGGTTCTGCCTCAGTTCAGCTTTAGTCTCTTTGTTTTGATTGTCAGTTTGCACTAGGATGAAGAGAAGAAGCTCTTTAGGCCTCATCCCCCTGCACCCCATCTTGTACTGTATAATAGGGATATACCAGGCTCTCATTTTACTTTAACATAAGAACTTTCCCTGTTTGCACGTCTGAACATAAAGGCACTTTTTCAGACAAAGTGTGCATATTTCCAACCTTGCAATCTTATCTACAAAATGTATCCAGCAAAGCAATGTGCATTTCAGGTGAAAATGTTCATGTTTTAATCAATGGGGGAAGGTAGGTATTTGAGTAAACACTCAAAAATGTTCAGCTAAATGTGCACTTTTCTAGTTTGAACAAGAAAAAACAAGGTTGCATTCAGGAATGGGAATGAAATGTAGAAAGGTTTGAGATGAAACTGGGAGAACCTCAAAAAGTATGGACCACTGATTCTTCCATCGATTTTTCTATTATTGTCCTGGTTGTATAGAGCAGTGGTTTTCAAGTATTGGTCCAAGGACTGGTGCCAGTCCTCAGGAAATATTCTACTGGTCCATGGGGAGGCTGGCTGTGCTCCCCCACTTCTTCCTCAGTTGGCATTGTGTTTGGCAGGGGTGCACCGGTGGCACTAGTAAAGGCGGCAGAGTGAGGGGGAGACAACTTGGTCGGAGCCTTCTGGGAGCCATGCTGCACCGATGTCAGTATTTTGATCTTTTGTTGACATTTTTTGTTGCTTGGATTCTGGTTGTTTTGGAGAATATTCTATTTTATTGGTATTGTATTTGGAAATTAATACACAGAATACTGTGCTTTTTGTTTCTGCCTCAGTGGTCCCAGAGGTGGTTTTCCTGTTTTCGCCAGTCCCCGTCTGTGGAAAGGTTGAAAACCACTGGTATAGAGGTTCTACATAGAATGTTTATGTTACAGATAATTGGTATTTGATTATCTTCTGACACTTGATTTTCATCTCTTGAAGCCTCTTTTGGCCTGCTATCCATCTCTGATATCTCAGGCTACCTTTCTGCCCATGTGTTTCCCCTCTCTATTTTATCGATGACTGCCCTCCCCAATTTCTTCTGGCTGGCCGGCCATCACTGTCTCCCCATTTTTGCTTGCTTGTATCCTGTTTCCCTCACTGCTTGTTCGTGTTGCAAAAGACAGTTCTTCATGGAGAAATGGGTGGATGATTTCTATAGACATGACATTTGTTTTCGTCTTGTGTTTTGGCATTACAGGGATGCCAGGATGCATTCAGTGCTACATATTCAACACTCTTTTGAGAAAGATGTTATCTTTCCTGAGAAGGAAGTGGTCTTTTTTTCTAACAGAGAAGGTCATAGACACATCAGAATTAAGTGGAGGGTGCAAAATATATAGTATTCCTGGGACAGAGTCTCATTTGATCTTCAGCTGCTGTTTCTTCATCTACCTTCATAGACTCATGACTTTAGAAATGACTGTCCCTAAATTTGATAATGTCTGAAAGTCTATCAGATGCAGCAACCAATATATACATGTCAAAACATTAAATCATAGTTTCTGTGTAGGGAAAAAGAATCAGGGTGGGATGAGCTGGGTAGGGAAAATTATAACCTTTAAAAATCTAGCTTGATCTATTTGCCGTCCCTAATGATATGCACAGGTGGGTTAGAACCATTTTTGCTCTACCCCCACAGACATTCAGCTCTTACCGTTTCCTTCTGTTGCCTATGCTCCTGTACATTGTCAGATATCAAGGTTCATATTTTACTGTGGTCCCACAGTGGCAAGCTCTGTGGATGGAGCCATGACATACATTCCCTAAGTACTATTGCAAGCTGAAAATATATAAGGGATTTCTCCAGCCAGAGCCATTCGTGACATGCTTACCTTGTGCATGTTCAGCCTATCCTTGAACACCTTAACAGATGAGGCTTCAACCACCTCCCATGGAAGCCCATTCCATACCCTTGGGGTCCTAATCCTCAGTAAGTACTTCCTGGCATCCAAATCAAACCTTGGTTCCCTGAGCTTTGCTCCACTGGAATGCATGCTGCCCTCCTTCACAGGGGAAAACAGGTCTCTACCCACCTCCATGTGGCACCCCCTCACATACCTATATATCGCCAACAGATCCTTGGAGTCTCCTCTTCTCCAGGCTGAAAAGACCCAGTTCCCTAGTCTCAGCTCATATGTATTAGCAAAAGTGTTTTCCTCCTGCAGGGCTTGACCCAAACAACTTGACCAAGATAGATTATCCCCACCATGAGCTGAGCTCCTTGTGAGGCACTCCTACTATTCCAAAAGTTCATGTATCACCAGCTACAGGTTTGCTTGGGAATCATTTCTGCTTAGATATGAAGCAGCACACAGTGTCCCTTCCAGCACACATGGATTATATGCTTAGATCTGCATCCTCTTGTTGGTGGGTAGTGAATGGGGTTTTCCAAGACAGAAGCCTCAAGATGTTTTCCTTCCTATGAACAAAGTGCATGATCAATGCTGGGGGAATATTTGTTTTACCAGACCAAGGAACTGGAGGTCATTACAACTGCACAGGGGTCTCAATACACTTAGTGAACAGAAATGACCTCCATTAGAATATGCTGAAACAAATGTATCCTTTGTCATGTTTTTGTTTCATGTGGCAGCATTACAGATTTCCATGGAGCAGGTCAAAGAGATTTGACTGTGAAGGCCAAGGATTCTAAGAAAGTTTTAATATACTCAAGACTCATGTTGCTCCTGTATATAATTTCTCATTATAGCAATGTTTTCAACAAAAAGCAAACAGCCATGCCTTTAAATCAAAGGATCATACGCTTATCTTGTTTGACTAGGGATAGGCAAGGAAGCAAGGTTGGAAACTGCAAGAAATTTGGGAACATTGACTTGCCAGACTTCTCATGTCTGATTCCCATTGAAATTTACAACCAGTGTTTGCTCTGCACAAAGGGAAGACTACTCGAATGGTGCAGTGACTAAACACAGCATTTACACATGTTTGCAAATTTGCACAAAATTATTCCATAGACTAAATTGAAGTTGATCCAGTGTATGTGAGAAATGTGTGCAAATAGAACAGGAAAAGTTGTGAAAATCAGTTGGATGCACATGTCCAGCACTTTATTATTTATTCATGTATTTACTTTGCTGGACATTTGTTCACAAGCACATTTGGAGATGGGAACAGGGGATCCTCACATGTTTTGTGAGCAAAAACATTTCCATAAATTCCTACTCTATTATACCTTACTATTGTAGTGGAGAGGGCTCAATGCCCCCAAGGGGGGAGAAAGGGGTTAAAACAAGACTTGGGTACACGGAACCCAGATGCCAGTCCCAAGGCTGTTTCAGTGCCAAGGCTAGGCAAAGGGAAGAACAGCAAAACCATCAAAGGACTGTAAACCATCCAAGGACAGGGACTTCACATTCTCAGGGCAAGGGCACTGGAGAGGTGGGGGTCATGGGTCCCACCTGGGAATGCTCAGGAGATGTGACCCCATGGAACCAAGGGCTCTGATTGCTTGATGGGGGGATAAAAGGAGAGCAGTCAGACTTTTGTTTCCTCTTTGGAGAGGAACCAGTTGCCATCAAAGGCTGTACTGGTCTGTGCCTCACTACACTACTCACAAGAAAACTCTGCTAAGTATTCTGTCTGGTATTAATGGTAGGTTAGTTATCTTTCTGTTTTAAATCTGAGATGGTCAAGGGCTTGAGAATTATGTTTAGGATTGGAACTTTCTATTCTGTTTGCTAATCTTCAATTCCCCTTTCCTTCCTCTCTCCCCCTTGTGTATGAGCATCTATGTTGCTGAGTGTTTGCCTGTTTAAACTCCCCACTCCTATTGTGTGCTTCTGTTCAATAGTGTTCTGTTTTCCTCAAGTACTTGGATGGGCATGTGCTGAATCCAGTGTGTTTAGTTCCTGGTGGTTGGGACTAGGGATTTGCCCAGGAAGTGAAGGAGGTGGGGGCTCCAAAGTAGCTGTTCGCTACAACTATTACTAAGAAATATTGCCATGATTCTTTTCCAATTTTGGAAGCAATTCATAGGATCTCCCTTGACTGAGGAACCCCTTGGATAGTAGTAGAACTTGGCAGCACTCCTTTAGTGGTGGGACCTACAATGAGGCAGTCTGGAGGTATGCCTGAGGAACCTAAAGAGTTGTAGGATCCTGGGTCTACAGCATAATTCCAAACAGAACAGTAAACTACACCAGTCTATACAGTGGTTCAGCTTGGGCTGGATCATGGGCCAAAATCTGGGAATCTGCGACCTAGGGGAAGCTTTAAATGAGTGCCAAGAGAATGACAGGTGAGAAGGCTCACAGAAGCCACATCAACCCTGCTGATCAATTGGGTATCAGGTGTTGCAGCCTCACCTCTGCTTAGGAGGCACAGATGCCTGTACTCATGATGGTGCTATGATATAGTATGTTTAAAATGCAATGCTGTACATACTTCAGGTTTTCTTCTTGTTATAATATCTCAGGAATGAAAAAGCAGGTGGAAAGCATGGAATGGCAGTTGGGATGAGGCAAAGATAAATGTTACATAATTAATGTTAATTGTCTAATATAGTGTTCATTGGAATAAAGTTTATTTTCTGTGGGCACTGTGAGATGTCAAACGGTACTGATGACCTGTTGCAATGAAATACATGTTAATCTGTATCTCCTAATCTATGCTGTTTCATAAATGTATATTTAGTTTATATAGAAAATGTATTTTTCCCTTCTAAAAGGTGTTATAAGAACAGCCTTGCCAAACATGGACAGAGAAGTCAAAGAACAATATCAAGTTCTCATTCAAGCCAAGGATATGGGAGGGCAGCTTGGAGGACTGGCTGGAACTACTACTGTGAACATCACACTCACTGATGTCAATGATAATCCTCCAAGATTTCCCAAGAGTAAGTTGTATTGCATCTCAGTGAACTGCAAAGTGAACATGCCTGTGTTCATTATATCAATGTGGTGAATGTTCTAAAAGGCCTATGCTGTACAGAGTAGGAAACCAAATAGTTTGATTTGTCAGGCAAAATTCTGAGATGCAGTTTATTCATGGAAAGTCAGTCTAAATGTTGTATTCTCCCAATGTAGTTAAAGTGAGGCAAGGCCATCACTTGAGACGTACATGGATAAGCAAAATTAGGACACTGGACAGACCGCAATGGGAGATGGGGAGGAATGAAGGTGAACTGGACTGCCTAGCAAGGGCGGGTAGGCTCACACTGCCCTTGTTTCTTTGTTTTTGGATTTATAACAACAAATTTATAATGCAGGAGGATCCTCCTCCATTAGCCACACGTGGTTTTGGGACTCTGCAATAAGAATGTGTGTGTGTAATTTGAGGTGTCAGGAGTTTATCAAGGCTATCAAAAGGATGGAGCAGCATTCTCCATAGAGCCCTGACCGACTGTTTCACTTATGGCATGATGCAGGAGAAATCTCAGATTTAGTTATAATGCCCTGTCCTGTCCATTTTATACCCTATGTCTCACTGATACAATTCTTCAGCTGCACAAAGGAGTAGATTGATCACATACATGTTTGGATGTTCTGAGTGATCCCAAACTTGCTATATGCTGTATGCATGTGGAAAGACGAGTCCATATTTTTCTTCCGTCCCTAAATTAATGCAGAATGTGCAGGCACCTCTGCCTAGGACTGTGCTTTAAAATTTATTATAAATGCTACTGTAGCACAGAGCAGGCATCTGAGTATAGAGTTCACTAACCACTGGTCATATAAGTTATTTATTTTTCTATAAATTTTATTAATTGAACTTACATAAACAATAACTTAATATAATAGTAATGAACATAGTTAAACACTACTAATACACATAAACAAACAATACAATAATAATACAAATTAATAGCTACCTCCACCAGGACCAACAAATCATGCCACTTACTGTAAGATCATTTATATATTCAGGTTGCCCCACTCCTATTTCCCTTCCAGAACTGCATTGACTCTTGAGATGGTTCACACTCCTTTCCTTTTATTAAGACATGTTCAATGAACATTCTCCAAACATTTTCAAGATTATCTTTACTTACCAAACCTTTCTTCCATTTAATATTGCAAGTTAACTTATGATTAATAGCTATATTCCCGACTTCTTTATATCAGTCATCTATTTGCGAATCACCTTTTATTTTCCAATTCCTTGCTGTTATTAATCTTATGCTGTTAAAAAATATCATAAATTCTTTAGGATTTTGTCCCACTTGTTCTCTAAATAATGACAATAATGCTAGTCCAGAATCTGCTTCAATGTTTAAATTCAATATTTTACTAATTTCTTTGAAAACCATTTCCCAAAACTCATTTATATATTTACATACCCACTACATATGGAAATATGTATCTGCTTCCCAGTTGCATCTCCAACATACATTGGAATATTCATTATTCATATAATTCAATTTAACCAGAATTAAGTACCATTTCCAAACTAATTTATAAAATTTCTCTTTAATTTTTATTGATACAAATTTTAAAATTCTCTTATCCCACATATTATTCCATTCTTCAGTACTAATATTTCTTTTTTAATCTATTTCCCAAAACTTTTGAAGAGGATCATATCGGTCTTCCCCTTCTAATAGTATGTTGTAAATTTTACTTGTCATTCCTCTCATCCACATTTTATCTTGTTTTTCTCTCTGTAAAATTATATCTTCAAATTTAATATATTTTCTACATTTTCAATTTTTCTTCAACCAGTCTTTAGTCCAATTAAGCATATAATACCAAGTTATTTTACCCTGTCCTAGTATTGCTTGTATCATTTCTTTATTCCTCATTTTCTGTATCCAATCTTTCTACCTAATAACATGTTTACTTTTCAGTACTTCCCTCAAACTACTCCACAAATTCTCTGGGAATCTTTCTAATTCCGTAATTGGATATAACAGCAAAATCGACAGGAAAAATATATTCCTATATTTATTCCAAATTCTGACCATATTCTTAAAAAAGGGTTTCCTGTCTTTTTGATAATGTTTTTATAATCTTGTTGAAAAAAATATTTAATAAGATTCCCTCTACATCTTGATATTCTAAGTTACCACATATTATCTTATCCAGCTGCAATATAACATCTGGTATATGCCTCATTTGATTTGTTATATAATAAAATTGCTCATTGGCAATACCTAAACCTACTGTTTTTGGGGGTATATGCCATCTTTTTTATTAATCTTTGCTTTCAAATCTTTCTCTGTTAACTTAATCAGAACATCATAAACAAGAAATTAATCATAGGTAAAATCTTCATTTTAAATGCTGCTATTCTACCAAACCATAAGCCAATCTTTCTAAATCCATTCATTTTCTCTTTCATTTTATATTGTAACTTATCAAAATTCTTCTTTTAATTATTTTTGTAATATTTACACCTAAATACTTAACCATTTTACATATCTTAACTTCTAACTTGCTCAATCTCATCCTTTCCTACTTTCTTACAGTTCAATAACATCATCTCTGATTTGTCCCAATCTACTAGTCAACCCATTATTCTTCAAATTCTGTTCAATGTATTTTAACCTGATCCAAAACCTTAACTGGATCCTTTATTGTTAATATTGTATCCTCTGCAAATAAGCTAATTTTATTCTCAAATCCTATATCTTTTAATGAATTATCATTTCTAATACTGCTAGCAGTTCCATAATTAAAACAAACAGCATAAGAGAGAGGGGACAACACTTTAATTCTTTACATGCTCAATACTGTCCTTCCCATTTTACTTCACATATTCAACATTCATAATATTACATTTGGCTTATTCAAAGTTATTTATTTATTTCTGTGTATGTCATCCATTACTGTCATTATTCCTCTATCCTATTTATAAATTCTTCTAGCTTATAAACTATTACTTATCTTTAAATCTTATATAATAAACTTTACCTAATAATTACCCAAAACCATAAAGTAGACTGTAAATCAACTTCTACCTCCTAAATATTAACTAGAATGCCTCTTCTTCAACTCATTTAATGGCCTAAATCAGAGAATGACTCCCCACTGCCCCTTGCAGCTCCTCTCTTTCCTTTTCATTCTGGAGAGGCTTTGAAACTGCTACAAGATCCACTTCTCCAAAGTCAGTTAGCTGGAGTTAAAGAAATTCCACCACCTACTCCTTTTCCTTCTTTTTAAGAAAATTCTTGATCTTATCTTCTATTCTGGCCCATCTTTTTCATTTCTTTCTTCCATCGCTCTTCATTTATAAGACCCAATTCATGTGCCAAATTTAAACCTTGTTCCAGTGACTCTTTTGTGTAATATTTTCCCTTATGCCAGACTCTCATATACACTGGGTATCCCCAAGTATTTTTAATATTATTCTTCAACAAAAAAAAATCTTAAATGCTTTCAACAAACATATAAATGAAATAGTCTGGAAATACAAATCTTGAAACACTTGAGTAGGTGCATCCTTAAACTTTAGTTGACCCAAATTTTCTCTCACCAGCCTTTCCTTCTTATAGAAGTTGGATAATCTTATCAATACATCTCTTGGAGTTGGTCTATCCCAGTGTTGGAGACCAACACAATATATTCTCTCTATATCATCTTCTTCCTGTTTCTCATCTGACATCTAAGTTGCTTTTCTTCTGTTGACAGTCGTTCTGGTATATTTCTCAATTGTTAATTCTTTCTATGATCTCTGTCCTCCAAATCAATAACCTTTTTCTCCAACTCAGTTATCTTTTTCAGAATGGCAAATTATATCCAGTGTGTTTGTTTTAGCCAACGTCTCTTTTTCTTCAAATTTCTTCTCCATCACCTTCTTTTTCATTTTTTATTTGATTAATATCCCCTTTCAACTGCTCTCTCATCCTTTTCAATTCCTGAGAATTATCTTCTTTCCATTCTTTCATACTTGAGTACAGAATCTTCTTAAAAGCTTTCAAAGTCTTTTCTTCAGCCATATCAATTCCACCAATGTCTCTTCAATCTGTAGGTGTTAGTCTGGTAGCTCTACTTAGACTCAGATCTGATGGTCTTCTTATTTCATGTGTCCAGACAGAGTGAGCTTTTCCACTGGGGTTGTCATCATGGCATCAATAATTTAAGTCTAACAAATCAGTATTCAAAATCCAGTTAAATCACTTATTCTTTAAACTTTATTCCACCAAATTAAAAAATATCTATTCAACATTCATCCAGCAGATGGAGCTCTCAATGGCTTCTTTGCTATTGCTTTCTTTGCCTCTAGACCCAACAATCTCTATTACTCAGGAATTCGACTTATCATAATCTCCATTGTTTATAGCTTTTTAAATATTCATGTAAATCCATATGTCTTTATATTTTAAGATTCAATTTCACTGATTCAATTTCACTTTAAACAATGAAAATGAAGCTTTTACTTTCTTTTACAAACCACAAGCCAGTCCCATTAGTATTGTTTACCATATCCATCTTTACAGTGGAGTTTTGCTGAATCTAATCAAGTTTTAACTGCTGTAAGTTTTACAATCTGTAAGCCAGTCTCTTTAATTAGCTTTAAGTTTCAAAGTTCTTTTTCCTGACTGTTTTTCAGCATGATCTCTGTCTTAGTCCAACACAGTCACAATCACTCCCTCCCACTGAAGCTATATCGAGTTTAAAGTTGAATTTATTTACAATCTATAAATCAGTACCTCCTTATTAAACATTTCTCAGGCAGCAGGTTCCTTCTCCTTCAAATCGCATTCACAACCATCTACTATCTCCAGGTTTTGCTTGTTACTCTTAACTAGGCACTAGGAGATTTCTTCTCAGCATTCAGTTGCAGCCATTGACTGGCCCATCCCCCCATTGGGCATATGCTTTAGAGCAACTCATTACATAAGTTGGAACCATCATACTGCATGTTTTCCAAAACCGGACCAGCAGCATTCAACAG